GTAACTGAAACACAATAAACAACAAATAATAATCGATATCAAAAATCAAGAAAATACATGTATAAAACTAATACTACGATAGACACGGTGTTCCCAGACTCCCACCAAGCCTAAACCCACCAAAAAGCTAGTCAAAACCTCAACTACCTACTGTCCTTCTACCCTAATCCGCATCATCCATACCCTCCCATGTCCTATCTAATCACTTCTTCGGCCTACCTCTACCTCTCCTCATACCCACTATATCCAACCTCTCGCACCTCGAAGAAATGATACTTATATACATACAAATAAAAGCCAGTGATAAGAACGAAAAGGAATTATGTTCTCTTAGAATGCAAAGTGCTTTCACCTATTCAAGTAAAAGTTGCTTCATCTGGGACATATATAAACCAAACAGAGTCATAGCTTATGTGAATATAAGACGATCAAAAACTAACACGATGCTTAAATGAGGAAACTTACCATTATATTTCCATGTTGTTTTTTCGCCATTAGAAACAACCTCAAACATTATGCAATCTCCTTCCTTTAAGCAATTTGCATCACGGAAGTCACGCCATCCACCCTTGATACATACACTACTGCCAAAAGAACGTAACTTAACGTTCCACGACCTTTCCCTTGTATCATCTCTAATAATCAAATCACATTTCTTGTTGGTGAGACCATTTGCAAGAGCAATTTTTGTCGGAATGTACTGAAACGGTTTATAACCAATATACACATATAATCAAAGAGTTGTATACTTCGTATCTACACCAAGAAACAAAGAGGGGAAAAAACGATATTCTTGAAAGGACTTCTTGAAGTACATTTTCGACTTACCAAGAAATCATTGACGAGGCAATAGGGTCTAACAATGCATACAAAATGAGACTGACCAAAAGGCTTGTGCGTGGCCGTTCCTGCACAGGAAAACGCATGACTTGTTATGGATTCTAATTTGTGTCATGGTGCATATAACAAAGAAATAATGTTATACAAAAAAGAGGTAACTTAAATGAGAAAACTTGCCATAAAATTTCCATATTGGTTTCTCTCCGTTAGTAACGACCTCAAACATCATGCAATCTCCCTCCTTCAAGTCATTTTCAACACGAAATTTACGCCATCCCTTTGCAATATAGACTCCATAACCATAGGTATCAATCCTTAAATTCCATGATCTTTGTCTTTCATCTCTAATAACCAAACCACATTTCTTATTGATGAGTCCGTTTGCCCGAGCAAATCCTCTAGGAAGACGCTGAAATGGTTTATAAGTTATAACAATTTGCACATATATATCATCAGCTTCATGCTTCCGCTGTATCATTAATCCAATAAAACAAATACAGGAAACAAAGAAAATGACGCAGATGTTTTCTTTACGAACTCACAAAGTAATTTCTTGAAAGGCAATACGGCCAGACAATGCACTCAAGATGAGATTGACCAAATGAGCTGCAAGTAGCAAATTCTTCCTTCGGAAAAGCCTTTCTTGTTGACACGATGTTGGGGTTTGGTTTGTCTGTGACAGAGTAATTGTGACAAACTCACGTCAAGAAATCAAACATGAAAAAACGATTACAATTAGGGGTCGTTCGATTGGGTGTATAAGAATAATACTGAATAAGGTTTATTAGTAATACTGAGATTAGTTATGCTTACTTTACTTTTTTATCAATTATTTGGTTTATTAGTATAGTTGTTTACGAAGAACATGTTTTACAGTATAGAGAACCAAACACCAAATAGTTTTGTCGAAGATGCAATATAATGTCATGGTGTACTGCATATAACAAAGAAAAAAGGATCATCGACAAAAAAGAGGAGGTTTTAATCTGAAAAACTTACCGCGAAATTTCCATATTGGTTTTTCTCCATTAGCAATAACCTCAAACATCATATAATCTCCCGCGTTTAAGTCATTCGCAACGCGGAACTCACGCCATCCACCTAATAAATGGACTCTACAATCGTGGGTAGCTAGCCTTAAGTTCCATGATCTTTGTCTTTCATCTCTGATAATCACATCACATTTCTTGTTGAAGAGACCGTTTTCCATTGCAAAGTGTTTAGGAAGGCGCTGAAATGGGTTATAACAATTTGAACATATGAATATGATTATACGCTTCATACGTTTGCTGTAAACAACTCCAATTTGGTAGTTTTGAGACTTACCAAGTAACTATGTGTAAGGCAATATGGTTTGACGATGCACTCAAAATGGGATAGACTGCAAGGGTTGTAAGTATCAGCTTCTGCACAGGGGAACGCCTCGCCTGATGACATGATGCAGAGGTTCGATTTTCCTATTACATTGTTAGTCATAGAGAAATCCATGCCAAGAAAATTAAATATGACAAAAATTACTACAATCAAAACATGAATAGCACGTAATCGTCCACCCCATTACAATGTGTAAATGTTGAACCTCTTTTAACTTCTTCGTGTGTTTACTATTCATATTTTGAAACCGTTAGTGAGTAAAGAACCTGGCTACGCCACTGGACACCACTAGTTAAGATTAAGGGATTCCAAAGATGTTACCTTCGAATTCAAATTTCTTGAAAGTCTCTTCAACATTATTGAATCCTGCTTCTTGTTGAAGATACTCTGCATATTCTCTGTCACAATGACTCGAATCGAAGATGGAAACTTCAAATTCCATGTCTCCTTCATGTCTAAACACCAACATATCGCCCAATTGCAAATCATTCTCCTTAGCGAACTTTTTCCAACCCTCTTCTAATCGCCAGCCGTTCACCTTCACCAACCACGATTTACCCACGCTTCTCAGTATTGCATGTTCATGCTGATCATGTCCCTTCAGATACTTCAAGAAACCTATAGGAATTTTCTGCAGTACTACACAAATTCAACAACAACATACCCAGTGTAGGGGTCTAGGGAAGATAGAGCGTACGCAGACCTTATTTAGGCTGACAAAATCATATCCAACCGGCGCAACCCCCAACCCGTTTAAGTTTGGACGGGTTAATAACTCACTCATTCATTAGCTCAACTCATTTTCAACCCATTAAAAATTGGCTTGATATGTAACCCAATTGACTCATGAGAAATCTTGTCAAAATAATTTTAAAAAACTTTTTCTTCAATTTGATATGTCATATATATATATATATATATATATTTTGATATGTTATATAAAAAAGATATGTTATATATATATAGTCATAATAAAGAAAAATAATAATTTTATTAGGTAAAAACATAGTTTAAAAGAAAATATAAATCAATTAAGCTTAGTAAAAATTGAGTTGGGTCTGAGTCTTGACCCGTTATATAACTCATTACCTAACTCGTTTCAACACACAAAAATTTCGCTTGGGTTGGATCTCGACTCAATTGCCCCGCCCAAATTTGACCCAACCCGCCAAATTACCACCCCTAACCTTATCCCTACCTAGGTAAATATTGGTTGTTCACCGTAACACAAACACGCCCCAAATAAATCTGAATTTCAATTAATCTGTCCTACTTTCCTTTTTAGTCCATGTTAAAAAGACTGTTTTTTTTAACAAATTCTTTAATTTCAACTTTTTACTTGACATGTTTAATACCACAAAATTAAAGGACAATTTGGTAAATTTGACATATATTTAATTTAAGACAACAAAATTCAAAAAATTCTCTTTACTTCATTTAATTTCGTGTCAAGTCAAAATATGACAAACAAATTGAAACAAACCATTACTATTATGCTTTTGTTTAGGACCTGAAATTGTACTAATTTTCTACCCAATTAAACAATTATAAAATGCTTAAAAGAACTATAGCTTTCAAATTTTAGTGTTTTTTTTTCTTTTTTGGAATAAATTCTTCCATCTCCACAACATCATACATGAAACATATAGTAAATAAAAGAAATATTAGAAAAAAAAATAAACTTAAAAGGATTACTTACAAGACCATGCTTGAAACCTTTGTGAATGGGTTTGAGAAATTGAGGTTTCTTTGGAGGAATTTTCATGGCAATCAACAAAATGCCTCTTTCTGTTTTCCAATTCACATTTAAGAAAAATGACTAAATTTTGTAACAATTTAATGAAATTTCAACTTATAATGGAATTGTTGACACCTTTTCAAGGCAGTGTAGACTGTGCAAAGCAGATGACATTTTGCAGTTTTCCAAAGAGAAATTTGAACACATGGAAAGTTGTGTGGGTCCATTTGTTTATCATTTTCCTCAAAATATACAATTAAATTTATTTTAAAAGGTTAATATCTCAATCATATAATGTCGTTGATTAGATCTCATATACAAGCTACTCTCTGTTTATTTTTACTTGTTATTGTTTGACTTGACATATTCATTAATTTAGGCATTTTACAATAATATCCCTATTAGTTGATGTTAATATTAGATGTTGAAAAAAGATTTGAAGAATAGTATTTAATGCTAATGGTATTAAATTGAAAGAAATAGTTGTATTTTCTTGATATGTCAAAATTGACAAGTAAAACTGAAAATATATTAGTTACAAGTAAAAGTAAACGAAGAGAACACCATATACTGTTATAAATATTTTTGTCACCTTATTTTTTTTTTTACTTTATTTGAAAATTTTAAAGTTGGAACTAAGGATGAAATTGTGTTTGTGTTGATAATTTTTGTAACTTAAAAAATTCAATTTAATCCGAATTTATTTGAATTGTAACTTGTTCAATCTAAAAATCAAAATTTTCATATCCAATCTAAATGATCCAAACATTCACCCCTAGTTTCAACAACACAAACAAACCTTGAAATAATATTGAGCCCACAAAATTTACTGTCCTTTAAAGAATTTGATCTCCTAACAATACTGGAAGTTTTGAATCATTTCCTACCAACAACAACATACCAGTGAAATCCCAGAATATACACAAACCTTATTCCACTACATCGTGGAGGTAGATATGTTGTTTCTGAAAGACCCTAGACTTAAGTGAAGAAAAAAGAGACAATAAGAAAAGGTAGTAAGCAACAAGAAAACGGTGCAAAATCTACAACAACAGAATAGTGCAATAACTAATAAACAACATACTACAACAGATGACTAAAACAAGAATCATTTCCTCCCAAAACAAAACAAAATTTACCAATATTGGAATAGCTTCCAAAAATTTATCAATCAATCAGATAATCGAAATCCAAATCCAAGCTGCGCGATGAAAAATGCTTGCCTTCTTCCTAACTCTTTAAGTTCTTTTCTATTTATTCCAAACTAATTCTTCTCTTTCCTCTGATAAGGAACAACATCAACTTGCTTCAGTGCAAGTTTCCTTGGCCATCACCAACTGCTTCATATTATCCTGTCAATGGCTTCTGTGATGCTTGGCGATTCGCATCCTTAACTCCTAGAATATTTACCTACAGTTTTCAAAACAAGATATAGACTCAAGTTCTGAGACTGAATTGTATAAAACTTTACATAACACTATAGAGGTCTAAGCCCTAAGGTAAACCTTTATATATGGAAAATTTGATAAGCAATTGTTTGGACATTTGATACATAATCAAATATACACAGACTTGCAGGCTCACACAGAGCACACATTCACACACTGACAAATAATCCCTCCGTTTCAATTTGTTTGCCCTACTTTTCATTTTAGTCGTTTCTAAAAGAATGTTTCTTTCCTTTTTTGACAACTCTTTAATTTCAACTTTCTACGTGGTATGTTTAAGATGACTACAAGATTAAAGGATATGATAGTACATTCTACATGTCTTTAATTTATGACCACAAGATTCAAAACTCTTTTTTACTTTCTTAAACTCCATGTCAAGTCAAAACTAGACAAACAAATTGAAACGGAGGGACTATAAAATTACTTCCAGTCTCCATTTACTCTCTAACCAGTCAGCTAAAAATTGACCATTAACGGTACAATCAACACAATTTGAATCAAGATTTTGTGCAACTTTAAAGTTAACATAACATTCATGTAAGAAGATGTTTATGGTTCCAAAATAACTTCCACGTTCTAATAACAAAAGGAACAAAAAGGAAAAATAACAACATATACGAAAGAGAGATAATAGAAATACTCACATGAGCTATAGGTATTGTGCCATTGTTGATGAGTTCAAACTTGTAAGTATCTCCTACTTGAATACCATTTGCATTTCTGAACTGTGTCCATCCCCTTTTAATTCCAAATTGATGTCCCGTTCGCCCTAGCCACACTGACCATGATCTCTGCTTTTCGTCGATAAGAATCATCTCACTTCTAATCATCAAGCCATTTGATTTTACAAAATCCATGGGAAGATACTGCTCAAATTTATCCCAATTCAGCATTATCACAAAAAAACAAAAATAAGCAAAGGTTTTTACTAAATTTGTTCAGATCACTCTTACCAAAAGAGCTTTTGTGAAGGTGTAAGGTTTGATAGTGGATATGAAATGTGGGTTGGCATCAGCAGATGTTGAAGCTGGTGTTTGCGATATTGGAGTAGTCACGTCTGATTTCTTATGCCTAAGACGTGTTATTGCTTTAAAGTAACCAAGAAAAGAAGAAGAAAAAATTGTTATGCACATGATAGTTACAACATTAATGCAGAAATCCAAACGGACATTTGGTTTGCACATAAAAGTCAATATACGAATGATTATATCAAGTTGATTTTTACTTAATACTTCTAAAGTCTTCAAGAGTCTTTGCTGAAGCATACCAGAGTAATTTAGTCAGCAAATGTGACTTGAATAGACAACATACATGCTGAAGTTTCTCAACCAGTGCCAACAAAAGGTTAAGTCCAATTTCAACCATGTTCCTCTTAGGGTATCGAAAGGCCATCAAATAGAATCTATAACAAGCTTTAAGACCTCGTTAAAAATATTGTTTTTCATGTTCTTTAGGCAACATGTTTAAACAGTTACAAAAACTGGTCTAGAAAGCAGTTACCGAAGACCATCTTTAGTAACCAAAACACACACATTCACTGCAAAGGTCTTCTACAGAACTATTTAATGCATCTCTGTTTCATTCTTTTCAAGAAAAAGAATAATCAATATAATTTGTCAAATATTGTTTATCCCACATGAATTTTCTTTGAAGTTTTTAAATATCAAAACATGAAAATTTGAAAATATATTCTGATGGAACCTGCGACAGGGTCTTTAGTTTAAAGGTCTAAATACATAAACATGAGCCAAGGGCCCCTTTATTTTGGATTATAGCCTACGAAAAATGAAGCACTTTGTTATAATAAGCAAAAGCAACTAAAACAAAAGTACAATGTTGAATTCCAACTGTTTGGTTGGGTAAATTTTAAACAGTGAAGTTGTTTGTGAAGAACATGTAAGAACATGTTTTACAGTTTGGAGAACAAACACTAAATAATTTTGTTGAAGATGCCATATAGTGTCATGGTGTATATATCAAAGTAGAAAGATCGTTGTAAAAAAGACAGAGGTTGCTTAAATAAGAAAACTTACGGTGAAATTTCCATATAGGGTTTTCTCCATTAGCAACAACCTCAAATGTCATATAATCTCCCTCCATTAAGTTATTCACAACGCAGAAGATACTCCATTCACCATATACACGGACACATGAATCATAGGCAACAAGCCTTAAATTCCATGATCTTTGTCTTTCATCTCTGACAATCAGACCACATTTCTTGTTGGTAAGGCCGTTCACGATTGCAAAATGTTTAGGAAGGCGCTGAAATGGTTTATAACAATTTGCACATATGATACTCTTCGTACTTTTGCTGTAAATAACTCTAATGAACAGAGGAGGGGAAAAATAAAATGGTGCAAATGTTTCCTTTAGCCTGAAATTACTTGAAGTGTTGAGGGGAAATGAGTTTTTGAGACTTACCAAGTAACCATTTGAAATGTAATTTGGTCTGACAATGCACTGAAAATGAGATTGACCCCTAGAGTTGTGAGTAGCAGCTTCTGCACAGGGTTAGATTGTAGACAAATCCATGTCAAGAAAATTGAACATGACAGAAATGACTACCACCAACACATGATAGAGTTTAAGCATCCACCCCGGACATCTATTTGTTGGTTTTTAATCTAAGCTAGTTGACACTTATGTTAAGAGGGACTCTACGGATGTTACCTTTGAATTCCACTTTCTTGAAAGTCTCTTCAGCATTATCGCCTCCTTCCTGCAGATACTCTGTGTATTCCCTATCACAATGACTCGAATCAAAGATGGAAACTTCAAATTCCATATCTCCTTCATGTTTGAAGACCAAAAAATCTCCCAATTGCAAATCATGCTCCTCTGCAAACTTTTCCCAACCCTCTTCTAATCGCCAGCCGTTCACCTTCACCAGCCACTTTTTCCCCATCCTTTTCAGTATTGCATGTTTAATATGGTTCAGTCCCTCCAGATACTTCAAGAAACCTATGGGAATTTTCTGCAGTACAACATAAACTTGCTCCAATTAAAAGAACTATTGCTTTCAAATTTGTGTTTTTTTCTTTTCTAGGATATATTCTTCCACCTCCACAACATCATATGTGCAACATATAGTAAACAAAGTAAAGATGAAAAAAAAAAAAACATGAAAGGATTACTCTTTTAGAGACTTACCAAGTAACCATTTGAAATGTAATTTGGTCTGACAATGCACTGAAAATGAGATTGATCCCTAGAGTTGTGAGTAGCAGATTCTGCACAGGGTTAGATTGTAGACAAAAATTGAACATGACAGAAATGACTACCATCAACACATGATAGAGTCTAAACAACCACCCCGGACATCTATTTTTTAGTTTTTAATCTAAGTTAGTTGAAACTTGTGTTAAGATTAAGGGACTCTACAGATGTTACCTTTGAATTCAACTTTCTTGAAAGTCTCTTCGGCATTATTGCCTCCTTCCTGCAAATACTCTGCGTATTCTCTATCACAGTGACTTGAATCAAAGATGGAAACTTCAAATTCCATATATCCTTCATGTTTGAAGATCAAAAAATCTCCCAATTGCAAATCATGCTCCTCTGCAAACTTTTCCCAACCCTCTTCTAATCGCCAGTCGTTCACCTTCACCAGCCACTTTTTCCCCGTCCTTTTTAGTATTGCATGTTTAATATGGTTCAGTCCCTCCAGATACTTCAAGAAACCTATAGGAATTTTCTGCAGTACAACATAAACTTGCCCCAATTAAAAGAACTATTGCTTTCAATTTTTTGTGTTTTTTCTTTTCAAGGATAAATTCTTCCACCTCCACAACATCATACATGCAACATATAGTAAACAAGGTAAAGATGGAAAAAAAAACATGAAAGGATTACTCACAAAACCATGCTTGAAACCTGGCTGAATCGGTTTGAAAAATTGAGGTTTCTTTGAAGCGATTTTCATCGCAGTCACTAGATGACTTATTGGTCTAGAAGAAAAACTTAGTCCTGAATCAAAATTGCAATAGAGTGATAAGTAATAATACAATTTATAGAGACAAAACAAAAGAATTTCAATAAAGGAAATAACCACTGTCGGGAAATTTTAGTAATTCACTTAATTGACTACTTGAACTTTCACCATGTTGATGATGGGGGTTCGATTTTCCATCTTGAAATCTCCTCCCAATTTCTCATTTTACCTGTACTTGATTCAGAAGTGACCGGTCTGGATCTGTGGAGAAGAAACGGAATTCTTCCGAATAAATGGAAAAAAGAAGTATTGATGAGAAATGGGTTTAGGGTTTACTAAGCGGATCCTCCAAGAAAACTAAAATTTCTCGTCAATGAACTGTAAACTCGGATTGATTCTTGCCTTAATCATGATTAGCCAAGTTATTGCTCGAATTGAACACACTTATCATAATTTAATATTAATGACCGAGATCTAATTGATTCTTGCCTTAATCATGATTGGAATAATCTGTTCCTCCCCTACATTCCATCAGTTCATTTTTACTTGTTTCTTTTAACATATCAAAAGAAGTGTCACACCCTGAGCCTAGACCCTAGGTGGGACTGGCACTCGATGCCATTGCTAGTTCGAGCATACCCATAACATAGCACTAAACATGAGCAGAAACATAGTTTAAAAACATTCGAAGAGACAAGTCTCGTAAAAGAAACACTCTTCATAATGTAAGTTATAGTACTGAAATTACTAACAAGGACACGAAGGTCCAAACTAAAGCATAACTAACTGTCTATCTATAAGGCCTCTAAACATAATTGAGTAATGTCTACGAGTACAAGGCACACATAATCATAAAGTACTAGAAAACTATAAACTAGGCCCCTAGGAGATCACCAATAGCAAAAGCTATAGGACCTAAAGATGTTACCTTTGAATTCAAAATTCTTGGATATCTCTTCAACATTATTGCATCCTGTTTCTTGTTGAAGATACTCTGCATATTCTGTCACACTGCCTCAAATCAAAGATGGAAACCTCAAATTCCATGTCTCCTTCATGTTTGAAAATCAACAAATCTCCCAAATTGCAAATCATTTTCCTTAGCAAACTTTTTCCAACCCTCTTCTAATCGCCAACCATTCACCTTCACCAACCACATTTTACCTGTCCTTCCCAGTATTGCATGTTCATATTGATCGTGTCCCTTCAGATACTTTAAGAAACCTATAGGAATTTTCTGCAGTACAATGCAAACTTAACAACAACATACCCAACGTAGGGGTCTAAGGAATGTAGAGTGTACGCAGCAGACCTTATGTCTACCTTGGAGGTAGAGAGGTTGTTTCAATATAACACAAACTTGCCCCAAATAAACACTAGAAAAAGATACAAAAGAATGTCTTGCTTTCCTTTTTAGTCCATTCAAAAAAGAATGTATGTTTCCCTCTTAACAACTCTTCAAAGACGAGTAAAGAATTACAGAGATCTTGATCTCTTAATGGAGATATAAAATCACGATAATTTTAGTCTTTGAAATACAAATGGTAAGACATACACAGAAAAAACACATGAACCTATTTCTTTCGAAATGAAACAAAATTTACCCGTGTTGGAACAACAATACTTCAAATTCCAACATAAATCAAGTGCCACGACCAAACAAAGCACACAATTCTATTTCTTTCGAAAACAATACTTATAGAAAGAGGAGATATATTTCAAAAATTCATAACAAATTCTGAAGCAATGCCGTAGTATATATAGCTAACAAATAAGTATTGACTTATTGTGATGAAAAGGTGTAACCATTCCAACAATTAATCAATCAATCAGATAATCCAAATCCGAATTCAAGCTGAGCGATGACAAAATGTTTGCCTTCTTCCCAACTCATTAAGTTACAGAGAAGTTCTTTTCTATTTATTCAAAACTAATTATTCTCCTTCCTCCGATATGGAACAACATCTCTTCATTTCTCATTCACGGATCTAAAGGCTACCATAATCTAATTACTATCATGCATGAAAAGGATACTTTGAAAACAAAAGTACAACACATGCTAATTTCTTTGCCCATCATCAAATGCTTCATATCATCTGCAATGACTTCTGTGTTGCTTGGCAATTGGCATCCTTAATTCCCAGAATATTTACCTACAATTTTCAAAACAAAACATAGACTCAGTTCTTAGACTGAATTGTACAAAGCTTTACTTACATAACCATAGAGGTCTAAGGTAGACCTTTTATATGGAAAATTTGGTAAGCAATTGTTTGGACATTTGATACAACATGATACAATATCAACACAAAATAAAAATTGTTTTTTTTTTGTACACAATACAGGGACTTGCACTCTCACACAGAGTACAAATTCACACACTGACTATAAGAAATAGAATTACTTCAACAGTCTCCATTTACTCTCTAACCAATCAAGGTCAGCTAAAAATTTGACCATTAACAGTACAATCAAAATAATTTGAAGCCTTCAAAATTGTGTTAAAAATTGTTTTTGGTTCCACAATAACTCCCATAATCTAATAACAAAAGGGACAAAAAGGAAAAATAACAACATATCACACAGGATAGTCATGAAACTAAAGAGAAATAAAGCAATACTCATATGAATTATAGGTATTGTGCCATTGTTGGTGAGTTCAAACTTGTAAGTATCTCCTTCTTGAAAACCATTTGCTTTTCTGAACTGTGGCCATCCCCATTTAATTCCAAAGTGGTTTTCCATTTGCCCAAGCCACACTGACCATGATCTCTGCTTTCCATCGACAAGAATCATCTCACTTCTACTCATCAAGCCATTTGATTTCACAAAACGCATCGGAAAATACTGCTCAAATTTATCCCAATATATAGATCAATACGCCGTTATCACAACAAAAAGAAAAAAATAGCAAAGGTTTTTACTAAATTTGTTCAGACCACTCTTACCAAAATAGCTTTTGTGAAGGTGTAACGTTTGATAGTGGATATAAAATGAGGGTTGGCATCAGCAGATGTTGAAGCTGGTGTTTGCGATATCAGAGTAGTCATGTCCGACGTCTTATGCCTAAGATCTGTTATTGTTTTGAAGTAACCAAGAAAAGAAGAAAAGAAGAAAAAAGAAACATCACAATCATTATGCACATGATATTTGCAATATTAATGTAACTCTTTCTTTACTTGGTTTGCTCATAAAAGTAAATATACCAATACTTATATCACATAGATTTTTATTCAATACTTCTCAAGTCTTTGCTGAAGCATACCAGAGAAATTAAGTCAGCAAATTAGACTTGAATAGACAACATATATGCTGAAATTTCTCTAGCAGTGCCAACAAAATGTTAACTCCAATTTCAGCCATGTTCCTCTTAGGGTGTCGGAAAGGCCATCAAAATAGAATCCATAACAAGCTTGAGTCCCTAGTTAAAAGTATTGTATTTCATGCTCTTTAAGCAACATGTTTAAACAGTTACAAAAACTGACGGTCTAGAAAGAACTTACCGATGACCATCTTAACTAACCAAAACACACACATTCACCGCAAAGGTCTTCTACAGAACTAGTTTATGCATCTCTATTACACTCATTTCAAGAAAAAGTACTTGTATTGATACTATTTGACAAATATTGTTTAATCCACATGAATTTTCTTTGAAGGTTTTAAATAAAAAAATATGAAAATTTATCCAAATGGAGACTGCAACAGCTTGCCTTTAATTTAGAGGTCTCAATACATAAACATGAGCCAAAGGCAGCACTTTGTTATAAGAAGTAAAACGCAACTAAAAAGAAAGTACAATATTAAATTTTTCAACTGTTTGGTTGGGTAAATTTTTAACAGCGTAGTTATTTGTGAAGAACATGTTTTACAGTTTGGAGAACCAACACCAAATTATTTTGTCGAAGATGCCATATAGTGTCATAGTGTACATATCAAAGTAAAAAGATCGTTGACAAAAAGACAGATGTTGCTTAAATGGAAAACTTACAGTGAAATTTCCATATAGGTTTTTCTCCATTAGCAACAACCTCAAACATCATATAATCTCCCTCCTTCAAGTTATTCACAGCGCAGAAGTCACTCCATCCACCAAATACACGGACACTTGAATCATAGGTAACAAGCCTTAAATTCCACGATCTTTGTCTTTCGTCTCTGATAATCAGACCACATTTCTTGTTGAAGAGACCGTTTTCCATTGCAAATTGTTTAGGAAGCGCTGAAATGATTTATAACAATTTGCATATATGATATGCTTCATACTTTGCTGTAAATAACTCCAATAAACAGAGGAGGGAAAAGACAAAATGGTGCAAATGTTTCCCTTTAGCCTGAAATTTCTTGAAGTGTTAACGGGAAATGAGTTTTGAGACTTACCAAGAAACCCTTTGAAACGGAATATGGTCTAACAATGCACTCAAAATGAGATTGACCCCAAGAGCTGTGAGTAGCAGCTTCTGCACAGAGTTAAGATTAAGGGACTCTAAAGATGTTAATCTAAACAACCACCCCAGACATCTATTTAAGATATTAATCTAAACTATTTGAAACTTATGTTAAGATTAAGGGACTCTAAAGATGTTACCTTTTTCCACTTTCTTCGAAGTCTCTTCAACATTATTGCCCTCTTCTTCCTGCAGATACTCTGCATACTCTCTGTTGCAATGACTTGAATCAAAGATGGAAACTTCAAATTCCATGTCTCCTTCATGTTTGAAAATCAACAAATCTCCCAATCGCAAATCATTCTCCTTAGCAAACTTTCCCCAACCCTCTTGTAATCACCAGCCGTTCACCTTCACCAGCCACTTTTTACCCCTACTTCTCAGTATTGCATGTTTAATATGGTTGAGTCCCTTTAAATACTTCAAGAAACCTATAGGGATTTTCTGCCAGTACAACATAAACTAGCCCCAATTAAAAAAACTAAATCTTTCAAATTTTACTGGGATAAATTCTTCCACCTCCACATCATCATACATGCAACATATACTACATCTACACTTTTCTTTTTAGTTCATCCAAAAAGAATGCCACCTTTCTATAATTGGAAAAAAAATTACTTTAAACTTTCCCCTTTCAAAAATCTTACTTTACTTTCTTAAACTTTGTATCTAAGTCAAAATATGTCAGATAAATTGGGACCAAAGCGAGTAGTAAACAAAGGAAAGATGATTTTTTTTTCGAAAAGGATAACTCACAATACCATGCTTGTAACCTGGCTGAATTGGTTTGAAAAAATGAGGTTTCTTTGAAGCTATTTTCATGGCAGTCAACAAAAATGCCCTTCCTGTTTGCAAAATCAAAATTACAGTAGATTGGTAAGTAGTAATTCAATTTATACAGACACAACATGAAAAAAAAAATCAAGTAAAGAAAATACCAGATAGTCGGAAAATCTTAGTAGCTCAGTTGATTAACTCTCCTAAATCTCCTCTCCATTTCGAGGTTTAGGGTTTATTAAGCGGATCCTCGAAAAAAAACTGTAAAATTTCTCGTTGATCAACTGTAAACTCGGATTCTGCTCCTCCTCCATGGCTCCATTTTTTTTTTCCTTCTTTCCATTTTCGTCGAGTTATTGCTTGAATTAAATATACATAACGTAGTTTTAATATTAATAACTGAGATTTAATTAATTAAAATAGAATCTTAATCATGATTAGAATTATCAATTCCTTCCATATATTTACAATCCCAAAATTTTGGCTTTATAATTAAAAAAATTCTAAATATATTAAAAACTTCTTTTTTTTCTACCATGATTAGATTGTTTATGCTTATTGGACAGATCAAGCGGATAATTATACTTTACCCGTTTGGCCTATTGAATATCAATTTTTAAATATACTAATCAGGCAACAAATAAACTATCGATTGGTTAAATATCGGATTAGTAATTAAGTTATCGGCGGTGTATTGACTCAATCATTTCATACTCCTTTTTTTTTACTTTCATTCACCAATAGTCCAATATATTAATCTCCAATCAAACAAAATAATTATATGAAAGTCTAAACTTTGAGGATGCATGCACGTAAGCATTTATTTAACAAATATACTTACTATAGAAACGTAACTACAATTTTTATATTAACTCTTAGCAGGTTAATGGTTTACTCAATAAGAAAGTTGAGTAATTCTTCTCCACAAATAATATATTAACTTGTTCACCAACCGTTAGTCCGATAACTTAATACCCATAAGTCAATAAACTAATTTTTGTGGTTGGCTTATCCATTATGTTTCGATTTTGAACAACCCTAGATGGAAGTATAAAACAATTTGATTGCAGCAAATTATCAAAAAGATATTCTTTTTGAAAAGAACAAACAAAAAAAAGTAAGACGAACAAATTGAAATGAAGTAAGACAGACAAATTGAAACGGGAAGAGAGTAGTAATCATGCATTAGAGGATACTTCAAAATAGAAGTAGAACATATCATACAACTTATCAAAGTTATTTTTTTTAAGATATAGCAAAATGTAGTAGATCCAAAAACATTATATCCACTAGCTTTAGTGCCTAGTTTCCTTTCCCATCACCAATTGCTTCATATTTACCTACAAATGTTACAAACAAAACATAGCCTCAGTACAGAATCTAAATTTTGGAGACTAAATTGTATAATCATGGGAAAAAAATCATATATATCAATTGTTATACATTATGAAACATCAATATATAAAAACATCAAAGTCATGAAACTAAAAGAAGATTCAAAAAATATACTTACAATGGAAATGAACTATAGGTATTTTGCCATTGTTGATGAGTTCAAACTTGTAAGTTTCTCCTACTTGAACACCGTTGGCTTCTATGAACTTTCGCCATCCCTTTTTAATTCCAAAGTGGCGCTTGTCAATTTGCCCAAGGCACATTGACCATGATCTCCGTTTTTCATCCATGATAATCAACTCGCGTTTATCCAGCAAGCCATTTGATTTTGCAAAAGCGATTGGAAGATACTACTCAAATTTATCCCAAATATATAGATTAATACCGCATTCTCACTAAAAGAAAGAAGAAAATTAGCTAAGGTAGTTGTTACTAAATTTGTTAAAATCACTCTTACCAAAACAGGAAATCTGAGGGTGTAAGGTTTAATAGTAGATATAAAATGAGGGTTGGCATCAGCAGCTTCTTGTGATTTAGGAGTACTCACGTCCGAGGTCTCAAGCATAGCATCTGTTATTGCTTTAAAGTAACCAAGAAAAGAAGAAACATTACAATCATAAATGTAACGAAAAGACAGGGATATTTGACATAACTAGAAAGGTTCTTTCCAAACCTTTATCTGACATTCTTTCAGCATCCAAATCTTTCTTCTTTACTTCAGCCTGAAGAAATGGGCTTTCTCTCAAATCTAGTTTTGTTAATTGAAACAACAACATCAGTACTGAAACTGAAGATGAATTTAAAACCAAAAAAAAAAAAAAAAGATCAAGTCGAAACAGAAAGGAACTATTATCTGTTGGGCATATACAGTCATACAGATAGTACCTTTTCTGATATTACTCGATGAAGTGATTAATAGCAACATACTTTTGAGGAGTACCAAGGTTAGCTCAAAGGGGTTTCTACCACACACTCAAAAGCTTCTCACAGTAACAGTAATTTTCAAAAGGAAAAAAAGCAGAGCAATATTATTTACGTGTACATTGCTTCTAAGCAATATACTTCCTTCACATTCTTCAAATAAGAGAAGTCTCTAGACAGTAAGAATTTGTCCTCTGTTGAACCACGGGAATTGAACATTTGTAGGACTTCATAAGAATTTGAGAAATATGTAAGATAAAGTAATAAGATCCACAACAAAATGCTATACCGAACAAGCAAGGGATAATGTACGACCAGGGCAACAAAATGGAATCGATTAGAAGATGGCAGAATCCTAGAGCTAAAAAATGGCAAATGCAGATCTACGTTGAACAGAATATCAATCAAGGTCAGTTAACAGAACATGTGTTGACCAAAAAATTCAGAGGCTCAGTGACAGAGACAAAGTAAGAGTAGATGAAGCACACACAAAAAGACCCCTCGAGGCCCCTAACACCTCTCTAGTTGCTTCCCTGATGCAGCCAACTGCTCTACCCCACATACTATTTGCGTCCCCACAACTCCCCCAAGCCCTCATAGCCACCAACTTCTCCCTAATCTCCCGAGATTTGGCCTCTGTAAGGCCTCCCCATCTAATCCTTAATCGGTCATATGCGACCCTCTTCTTCTTTCTCTTGGTCTTTCTAATGTGTGTCTAGCAATTATAATTCGAACCATAGAGATTGTGAACATACAAAAGTTGATAACTAGATAGGATCCTTGTAACTATAATTTCATCTCATCGTAATTAATTTAAATAAGTAAACAGTAGAAAACTGGATGAGATAATTTTAAGATAAGGTTTTAGATGAGAAACTTGCCATGAAATCTGAAGATAGGTGTTTCTCCATTGGAAACTATCTCAAACATTAAGATATCTCCTTCCTCAAAGCATTTTGTATGGCAAAATTCATGCCATCCACTTCCAATGAAGGTGTTTTTGCCGCTTGTATGCACACCAAACGTCCATGATCGTTGCTCATCCCTTACAATTATCTCACATCTCCTGTCGATGAGTCTGTTTTCTTGTGCAAATTGTTTTGGAATACACTGAAACAGTTTATAAGCAGTCACAAATAAACAATCAATATGTATGTTTGTTTTAATCTTCCAAGTTGTCAAACAGATAATTGTTCTCATAAGCTTATGTAGGAAACAAATTCATCTTTTTCCGTTTTTTTCCCAGCATAATAGTAAAAGTATAATGTACTTGTGAAATTACCAGACAATACTTTGAAAGGCAATAAGGTCTAATTGTACAAATGAAATGAGAGCGACTGAGATGCATGTCCTTATAAGCAGCTTTTACATTGGAGAAACCCTTGCCTGATTTCTTGATGTTGGGCTTTGGTTTTTCTGTTGCATTTGTTAATTACACACAAAGTGATGTCAGAAAAGAATATATATAAAAAAAGGAAGTTACACATTTGACTGCTCGGCCAATAATATTTCTATTTTGTTTTGGACGAACAACTACTTAAGTTAATTTCTCAAAAATAAAACTCCACCAACAAAATTACAAAACAGTAGCTTCAATGAGATATACCATGTCTTAGAGGCTATCTTTCAGTTAAATGCAAATATTTGTCATATGAGTTGAAATAAACTACTCCCTCTGTCCCAATATAAGTGAAAGGGCTCGGAGTACGAGGATCAATACACCTAATTTTGGGTGTGAATTAGAGCGTACATTCTCTATGTTCTTTTATTAAGTAAATTTACATATTTGAAAGATACATGAAAAGTACTATAGTCATAAATTTATGTGTTACTTCGCCTTCTAAAGTCAAGTCCTCAAGGAGTATGGTGTGGTGCTGCGGGTGAGATTCCTCCACCTTTAACCAGATGTCTCAAGTTTGAGTCTTGTGAATAGAGAAAAATCTTGCAAGGAGGTGTTTTTCTCTTTAATGGCCCATACTAGACCTGGATTTATTTTAATCTTTTCATCTCACTTTCCTATTTCTATTTTAGTTTTTCTAAATGAAGTAAGCATCATCAAAATTGTTCCTCGTATTCATATCGGCAATGGCATTATTACTATTTATATATACTTTGCATCAAAATAAGAAAATAATTAATTTCCATATAGGAAACAAATAACAGAACAAAAGAAGTTCACCTTTGAATTCCGATTTCTTGGAAGACTCTTCAACAATACACACTTTTTCTTCTTCTCTTCCATGAACTCCTTGTTCATATTCTCTCTCACAACAACTTGAATCAAAGATGGCGACCTCAAATTCCATGTCTCCTTCATGTCTAAATATCAAAATATTTCCCAATTGTAAATCATGGTCCTTTACAAACTCTTCCCAACCATCTTCCAGTCGCCGGCCATTCACCTTCACGGACCACTTCTTACTTGCCCGTCTTAGCAATGCATATTCATTCGTCTGTCCCTTCAAATACTTGAAGAAACCTACAGGAATTGTCTGCAATACAACAATTTGTATGATTAAAATGGCCTTGTCCCATCATTATCAATTTCAACACACAATGCAAATAAGCATGTGAACATTCCTAAAATGTCAACAACAACATACCCAGTAAAATCCCGCAAGTGAGGTCTGGGGAGGGTACGTAGACTGTACACACCTTACCACTACCTTATGAAGGTAGAGAGGTTGTTTCCAAAAAACCATGTTACACTAAAATATCGACAAATATTAAATTCGTAATCCAAGATTTTGAAAGTGTATTGATCAAGGTTGACCCTACCAAGTTTAAACCCTGGATCATTCTACAATGCTAATACTATTTTCTTAGAGGTGTCAAATAGACAGGTTGAACTAAATTTTAGCGATAAACAAGGAATCTTAACTCAACCCTCGAAACACTTACCAACTTTTTTTCTCTATAACGACTATGATCAACATATCAAACAAAAAAAAAAGGATTTTTTAAGGGAAAACTACTTGATAAAAGCAAACACATGCACTATGAGCCTCATCATGATACAACGTCTCACCCACTCTGTCAAAACTTTCTTATACCTTACCAGGTATAAAACAAACTCAACTCATGGATCCACTATAAAGTCAGTGAGGAGTCGTATTTACATGAAATAGCAAGAGTTTAAATAAATTACAACACAAAACAAGAGTTTAAGTATCGATTTGCTATGTATCAGTATCAACACATACAAGTATTTTCACCCAAATAATCAATAAAACTGTGATAAACTCCCTCACACATGTAGCAGACCCCTAAGGAAAAATTGAAAGTATTTTACTTACAATTTGTTGCTTAAAACCTGGCAAAATAGGTTTTAAAAAATGAGGTTTTTTTGGAGGGATTTTCATGTAAAGAAGTTGAAAAGTTACAAAAGGAATGGAAAACCCTGCGTTCAAATCAGGTACTTTCTCCGGTTCATATTATTGCTCTTTGGGTATTTATGTTTAAACCTTTTTTTGTTCCTTTATTTATATTTTCTAGGTGATAAAAGCTTAAGAAATTTATTAGTTATATTTATGATTTTACTTTGAATTATTTTTATTTACAAAAATAGTTTAGCAATAACTAAAAATGGGTAACAGTGGAAACTGATGTTTAATTTATGTCATAAAATTTTTTTTTCCTTAATAGATGTGCATTATTTTACAAATTCTTAATATGGAACCGAGCGAGTAACTACGAATTTAAATTATAATTTTTTTGAAAAATATACAAGTACCCCCTAGACTATGACCGAAATTCCAGAGACACACCTTAACTAAACTAAAGTCCTATTACCCCCGTGAACCCCTTTTTTTTGTAAATTTGTGCACCTTTTTGACTTACAATTTGTTTTAAATTACGATTTCAAACTTTTTAAAATGTAAAATTTTGACCTATAAATTTATATTTCATAAAAAAAATCATAATTTTAAACTTCATTAACAAAAAAAAAACACTCATTCTCAAAGTAAAGAAATTGTTAGTATCATATGGGAGGATTTTATCGAACAATAGCTAGTTACTACTATTGTTGATTCATTACACTAGTGAATCTTTGTAAATTTATTGATACATTGTGTTAGAATATTCAAATATTTTTATTTATGAATTATAATTGCTCATTTGGTAACATAGTATGAGAATAAGGAAAATTTCGATAGGTTTTAACAAATTATGAGAGTTTTATGTTTATAAAAAAAATACAATTTAATTATGAAATTCAAATTATATATCCAAACAATAAAATTAACCTAACTTCAAATCATGTCCAAACTGGTCTTTTAGCTAAATCAACCTTAATTAATGATATTATAGAAAATTGTTCAAATGACTTTTTAGATAGGTAAATAAGGACAAATCTAAAAAATAAATTTAATTATTTTCTAATTATGTAAATAAACACTTATTATGAGCTTGAGTTGGTTAAAATGCAACTTACAAGATCACTGAATTTGAAGTAAAATGTACATGTCATAATCAAATGGAGGGTAATTGAAGAACATTAAATCTAAGGTACATCTTGGACCTCGAACTTTGGTTTAGTGGTAAGAGCACAACACGTGATTTATGGGTTTAGTGCACGTTACAGGTTCAAAATCCATTATTCACCGAGCTTTGAACCATGCACCATCGGACCTCGAGGATTTCTCCGTTACGAAAAAAAATCTGAAGGTACATTATCTGTTGAGATTAGAGCAACATGTAGTATAACCAAAGCATCACCTTCAATGCTCCTTTCCCTTGCCCATCACCAACTGCTTCACTAACTTGTCAAGGGCTTTGCTTGGCATCCTTTCCAGAATATATACCTGAAAAAATTCTTCTAAGATTACATAGACTCTCTTTGCAATATATCTAGTTTCGTAGACTTGATTCCATAAAACCAACAACAACGTACCCAATGTAATCCCACGAGTGGTCAGGAGAGAGCAGAATGTACGTAGACCTTACCCCTATCTTGGGAATCTTGGGAGGTAGAGAGGTAGTTTCCGATAGACCCTTGGCTCAAGGAGTCTGATAATAGAAGTGAAGCTAGATTTTCTTTGTGTGTATGTGTGTGTCAGGGGGGGGGACCTTGTAGGGCATTTGAACAATTGGCCTTTTTTGACAATACATGCAGACTATATAAAACCTTCCACAGACTATTAATATCAAAGTAAGGTTGTAGGACAAATTTTAAAACTTCATCACTCTTTCAAAGTGTGTCATAATTTTCATATGAAGGGAGTTTAAAAGCGCGATGTATTGCACGGAGGAAGATCACGAAAATAGGTATATAATTAACCCCACATAGTGTTTACACCAAATCAAGATATTTAACTTTAGCACCTAAAAGTTAAAGTAACCATGGTTTGAGTGATGAATGTGTGTATGAACGATGCTTGTCATGCATTTATTGATTTGGTGTAAACACTATACATTGGGTGCAGGTAAATTGATATCATGAAAAATAAAGGGAAGTAATGAAATACTCACGATGGAAATAGGCTACAGGTATTTTTTCATTGTTGATGAGTTCAAATCTATAGATATCTCCTACTTGGACATCATTTGCTTCTTTGAACTTTTGCCATCCAATGTGAATTCCGATGTGATCATCTGACACTGGCCCTAGTCGAACTGGCCACGATCTCTGTTGTTCATCCATGAGAATCATCTCAAAACGTCTATTCATCCAGCCATTTGATTTTGCAAAAGCCAATGGAATATACTGCTCAAGTTTAATCCCATTGCATAGATCAATATCGTGTCAGCACAAAAAAAGAGAAACTCTTACTGAAGATCTTAACAATTGATTCAAATTAACATACCAGAAAATGTTTGAAGATGGAATAGGGCTTAATAATAGAAATAAAATGAGGGCTAGCATCATTAGCAGATATTGAAGCAGGTAGTACTTTCGGAGCAGTCACGTATGAGGTCTTAATCTTAACGCCTGTTGCTACTCTCAAAATACAAGGAAAGATGGAATCAGAGAAATGAAAAGAAAAAAAAATGTATTAGATACAACAACAAAAGGTCTTGCTCTTGGAATCCATACCTTCTGTGGAAACACTTTTAGCGTCCAAATTGACCATCTTTCCTTCGGGCTGAGGTGATGCACTTCCTTTCATATCTAGTTTTTAAATTGACACAACAATGTTAGAATGAAACATAACATGAATATTTAAGACCAAAAAATAAACATTAGGAAAAGTAAAATTTTTGAGGGGAAAAGAAGAGATGAAAAGAATTTGATAAGAGCTAATTCAACTCTCAGAAACATAGAGCTTCTTTTCGGGACTGGGGAAGGTCAACTGTAGCTGAAAAAAGGAAAATCCTATCTCATAATATACTACTAAGTTAATTTCTTTAATAAAACCGATATTGTAAGTCGCTCAAAAAGATCTTCTACAAAACTCGAAAGCTTTTTTCAGTAACTGGTACTCTCAAGAAAGCAGAAAAGGCTTGTGTAAATACTTTTACTTAAAACATTCACTAAAAATCATCTAAATAAGACACTTCATAAATAAGAACCTTCCAATATGAGCTCGGGTTTTGTTGAACTTGAGAAAACATAAAGGATATAATAATAAATGAACAAACATGGTGATTTTTCACTAACAAAATTTGTGTCCAGTATTTTGAAATCCAAGACATAGAAACTATGAGGTAACAACAAATAGAAAGAGAATCTTTAATCACTAGTAAGGATCCTTATAAAAAAAAGTGAAGTATGATGTTATTGTATTTATGATTTAAAGAAAGAAACAGGTACGCGAAAAGAGAGAAAAACAGAATTTTTAAAAAGGGATTAGATGAGAAATTTGCCGTGAAACTTCAATATTGGCTTCTCTCCATTGTCAAGTATCTCAAACATTAAGTAATCTCCTTCCTTTAAGCAATTCACAATGCAGAACTTGTGCCATCCGCCAACAATGGTGGTGTTTACCCCACGGGCATATAGCTTAAATGTCCATGACCGGCGCTTGTCTCTTATTGTTATTGTACATGTCCTGTTTCTGAGACCGTTTAACCGTGCAAATGAGACTGGAACTCGCTGAAACAGCTTATAATCAGTTTCACAAAAACGAGATCATATGTATGCTTCACACTCTGAAAAAATTTCTCATGACGAAATGAGCTCTCTATTTTTCCTTTTTTCTATTTTTAACAATGGAAGAAAAATTTAATTTCGACAACTTACCAGAGAACACTTCGAAAGGTAATATGATTTCATGGTACAAACAAAATGAGGGTGAGAGAGAGGAATGTTTTTTGCAGCTTCTATGTTGCGAAAAGCCTCGTGTGATGACATGATGTTGCACTTCGATTTTTCTGTTACATTTGCTAATTACACAGTCATGTCAAAAATATTAATCGAACGTATACTTACAAACATGAACAAAAGAACATTTGAATAGTTAATTGTAAAGAAAAATATGACAATAAATTAATTATGACAAAAGGATTACAATTAAAGTATGAATAGCATCTAAACATGCACCTCATCCTTTGGCTAAGTGTTTATCTAAAAAAAAGAACCAAAAAAAAAAAACTCAAACTTCTTTTAAGGTTAAGGGAATTAACTTGCAATTGATCAAGTATAAACTAATTGTACTATGATATATAGCAATTTATTAATATTTTTATGCTATTAACGTTCGTTTCAGTAATTACAGTATGAAGGACTACTTGTTGATTCAAAAGAAGAAGTATGTAGAACTACTATTTTAAAGATCTTATTTCCTTTAGAAGATCATAAACTACTACTACACTCATGTCATCAATATATCTGCATAAAGGTTGAGGACTAAACTGCTTCTCTAAAGATTTTTATTTGAAATCAAATTTCCAACTGTTCGGTTGGGTAAATTTTAAAGTGTAGCTATTATGAAGAACACATTTTACAGTTTGAACAACCAAACACGAAATAATTTAACTGAAGATGTAATAAAGTGTTGCAGTGTAGTGTATACAACAAAGTAAAAAGATTGTTAAAAAATAAGAGGTTGCTTAAACGAGAAAACTTACTATGGAATTCCCATATTGGCATTTCTCCATTAGCAACAACCTTGAATGTTATATGATCTCCCTCCTTTATGTCATTTGCATCACGGAGTTCAGCCCATCTACCTCCAATATAGACTTGAGAATAGGAGGTATATAGCTTTAAACTCCATGACCTTCGTTTTTCATCTCTAATAATCAAACTACATTTCTTGTTTATGAGACCGTTTGCCCTTGCAAATTTTCCAGGAAGGCGCTGAAATAGTTTTGAACAATTTGCACAGTTCATCAAACATACAATTAAGCTTCATATTTTCACGGTAAATACCACCAATAAACAAAGAGGGGAAGCAAAGAAAATGGTGCACACGTCTCCTTTAGCCTCTAGATTCTTGAAAGGAATTTCGAGACTTACAAAGTAACATTTTGAAAGGCAATAGGCTCTAACTTTGCATACAACATGAGATTGGTTGCGAGTAGCAGCTTCTGCACAGGGAAAAAGCCTTACATTGTTAATTGTAGACAAATCCAAATCCAGAAAATAAAATGTGACAAAATGATTACAATCAGAACACAAACAATCTAACACATGTCATCATGCAAGTTCACGGGAACCCAATAACTTCTTCACAAACATTGTATATCTATTAACAAATCAGCTAAACATCTTTAACTATCGAATTGTGAACCCAGTTATTACTGTTTTATTAACTTAAAACCATTGAGGAACCCACAAACTTCAACCTCTGCATCCACCGCCCTTTCACAAATTTTTAATATAAACAATTTGAGACTTATGCTAAGACCTAATTTAACATAGTATAGCTTGAAGGAGTGAATTCACAGAACCATGAACTATTGGGCAATCCTCTTCTGTTTGAGCTAGCTTTTAGACCCAAAACCTAATTTAACTAGTAAATTCATCATGTATAAACTAATGTACACTAAAAAATCTTACCTTTAAACTCAAATTCCTTCGAAATTTCCTCAACAGTCCGGGCTCTTCCTCCTTCTCCTTCTTCCTGCAGATACTCTGCATATTCTCTATCACAATGACTTGAATCAAATACAGAAACCTCAAATTCCATATTTCCTTCATGTCTAAACACCAACAAATCTCCCAATTGCAAATCATTCTCCTCCACAAATTTTCCCCAATTACCATCTTCAAATCGATGTTCATTCAGCTTAATCCGCCATTTCTTACCACCCCTTTTCAGTACAGCACGTTTAATATGCTCGTATCCCTTCAGATACTTCAAAAAACCTATAGGAATTTTCTACAAAATCATGTATAATTAGGGTAACATTGTCCCAAAATGACATGAAATAGTTGAAAGTATTAGTAGTACAAAAATACTTACAATTCCATTTTTGAAGCCTGGAAGAATTGGTTTGAAGAAGTGAGGTTTCTTTGAAGGTATTTTCATGGAGGTTCAAGAAAGGTAAATTACTGTACAGAAAAAGTGTTCACTTTCTTCTTTACACACAAAGGTGTGTTTGGTTGTAATGAAAATGTTTCTCTATGAACATATTTCCTTTTTTTAAAAAAAATATAACTTAGACGGAAAGGGTAATGTTTTTTATAAACTCTTGAACGAAAAAAGGATAGAGACATGTTAGGGATTCAAAGCATTAAAAGAGGCGTTATGATTTTGAGTATGGTAAGTGTATAAAAGTTGATGAGATTAAATATGTTATTTGTACAATGCTCAGGAAAATAACGATCAGGTCAAATTAGATTTTGGTGGAATTTTGAAAGAGCGTAAGCTTATAATTTGGTGATATATCTATGTATTACAAGTATGAAATGGATAACTAGATTGTTTAATGTCGTTTTTAAGATGGTGAAAATGTGTGAAGAATGGAGGTAGAGTACAATGATTTTATTGGACATGAACAAGGTGATATTCGGAGTTTCCAACAACTAAGGGTATCAAGCTACTAAGACACTTGATTTGAATGATGAAAACATAAACTATTACTTCTTTCATTTTAATTTGTTTGTCTGATTTGACTTGATACAGATTTAAAGAAAGTAAAAAAAACTTTTGAATATTGTGATCTAAAACTAATGATACGTAGAATGTACCAATATCCTTTAACCTTGTAGTCTTAAATATGTCAAGTGGAAAGTTAGAATTAATGAGATGCCAAAAAGGAAAATAAAATACTAAAAAGAAAAGTACAACAAACAAATTGAAACTAAGGGAGTATAAAGATTGAGAAGTTATAATGTCAAATCTCTCGACAACAAAAAAAAAAAAGCCATCCATATCCACTCTTACATGGATAAGAATACTCCATAATTCATCTCTTCTTTTTCTTCTGGTATCATGATATAAACCAAAAGTGTGACTTTAATCTCAAGAGTTAATAATGCTAAAAGCATAATACAAAAACATGTTTGGCTTTTGAAGAACAAAAATCAAATGGCTTTTGAAGAACAAAAATCAAAGTACATTTTCTTTAGATTAGCCAACATGCAGTAAATCCAAAAAAAACAAAACCATCATATTCTTCAGTGCTCCTTGTGGTTTCTCTCATGCTTTTCATCCTTCACAGCATATTTACCTGCAAAAATATATTTTTAGCAGAACATAAGACTCTCTTTGCCATCAATCTAAGCTACATATTCATTTTCAGATATATAAAATCTTTTGAGATTCGTTCAATATCAGAAGAATCACATTTTCAAAAATCTCATTTTCATTTCGCTACCACAGGGGAAAGTCGTTTATCATGAAAACAAGGGGAAGTAAAGAAGTAACTCACAAGGGAAATACACTCTACACGCAATGTTCTGTTGTCGATGAGTTCAAACTTGTAAGTATCTCCAACTTGGACACCATTTGCTTTCATGAACTTTTGAAATCCCCTGGTAATTACAAAGCGATCCACCCTTTGACTTAGCTGAACTGGCCATGATCTCTGTTTCTCATCTGTGAGAATCATCTTACGTCGATCCATCAAGCCAGTTGATTTTACAAAAGCCATTGGAAGACACTGCTCAAGTTTATCCCAGTATGTGTATCAATACAAAAAAAAAAAAAAGTTACTACCGAAAATCTTAACTATTAAGGAGTCGTTTGGTAGCTGGTTAGAATCATGCATGTATTAGTTATGTCATCTTCTATAACCCGCATAAGATACTACACAATTTCTGTCATAATACATGTTAGTTATGCAGGTTCCTAAATTGCAAACCATACGTCATATGATTTTATACAGGAATAACTTACCTTCTAACTAGCCACCAAATGTTGTGTAACTCATGCAGACATGAATACATGAATAAGTTGTCTCTTTACTAGCTACCAAACGACACTAAAGGCTTAATAAAAGTTAATTTGAATTGCTCACCAAATAGGACCCGCTGATGGTATAAGGCTTGATAGTAGCAATAAAATGAGGGTAAGTGTTAGCAGATGTTGGAGCAGGTACTAGTGCTTTTGGAGCAGGCATATCCGAGGTCTCAATCTCGAGGCCTGTTCTTCATTCAAAAAAGATACATGAAAAAGAAATACGACTTTTTTGTTGCGACTAAAGTCACCGAAGAAACTACCAGAAGAAGTCACATTATCAAGGGTATGCTCTTGTAATCCAAACCTTGAGTGGAAACTCTTTTAACATCCAAATTAGGCTTCTTTTGTTCGCGCTGAAGTGATGCATTTGCTCTCAAATCTAATTTTCAAATTGAAAAACATTATTAACTGAATCCAAAAATGATTTTGAATCCAAAAATAGAACATTAAATTGAAGTAGAAAAACTATAAGGATGCAAGGGTAGAAAGAAAAAAACATGTCAGTTCACTGTAACTATGATTTATAAGAAAGAACTAGATAAATCAAGGAAAAAAGTGGATGAAATATAAGAGAAAGGGGATTAGATGAGAAACTCACCGTGAAATTTCAATACAAGTCCCTCTCCCTTGGAAAACATCTCAAACATTACGCGATCTCCTTCCTTTAAGAAATTAGCAGCGCAAAATTCATGCCATATGCCTCCAATTGAAATGTTGCATGCATTAATATACAGCTTAAACATCCATGACCTTTGCTGCTCATCTCTTATCGTTACCGTACATTTCCTGTCGAGGCCATTTTCCCGTGCAAATAGTGTTGGAACACGCTGAAACAGAACCAGTTGCATGTAAAAAGCTCATACGTATGCTTCAACACTTCCAAATTATTAAAGAAACAAATACTTAGTTCTCATAACGAAATGAGTTCATCTTCTTCTTTTTTTAATAGTAACAACAAAAATAGAATCAAATTTTCAACTTACCAGCAAATACTTTGAAATGCAACTGCGCGTGATGGTATAAATGAAATGAGGACGAGACCGAGGCATGTCCTTAGCAGCTTCTACATCAGGTAAATCCTTGTTTGATGACATGACATAAGGCTTTGGCTTTTTCGTAGCATTTTCTAATTACACAAAAAGTCGTGTCAATATTTGAAAAAAGCACTTTATGAACAAAAGAACATATCAATAGTTCAATAAGATAGAACCTTTCTGAAGATAACTTTCCTACTTTAAGTCTAAGAAGTTGATTAATCTACTAATTTCACATATCAGTTTGGTCTTACGAAACCAAATGAACGTAATACAATTGTAACGTTGATTCTCATTCACATGTTAGCATCATGTGTTGCTGTATATACATTTACTCCTCTTGCAAACTGAATGGGAGGCTGACACATTCAGTCCGACAGGTAAAAATTGGAAACATGATGAAGCGACTTTATTAGGATGTCTGCAACATTGCCTTTGGGTTACTTGTTTTATATAAGTGTTTCTGGAAAGTTGTGTTACGATGTCCCTTGTTGGACTTATTTGGTTATTTACACCACTCGAGGGTTTGGTTTATACGAGCACAGCAACCGGCAAAGCAGTGTGCTTGGATTTGAATATGGATTCATCTATCGACAAGAAAATGGAAATCCAACTTGGTTCTCGAAGGAAAATGAAGACAAGGAATGCCCTTCTTTTCTAGATCTTCGAACATATTCTATTAAAGCCATAGAATGACTCATGTCATGCAACATGTTGTATTTGTCTTCAAAGACTTTTAAAATAATAGTAATGAAGATAATGCTCTCTTCTCACAACAAGGAGAAGTATCTAATCAGTTCTTGAAGATATTTGGAGAGCTCGCGTGAAATTAATGAGTTTTAGGACTTATCAAGAAACCATATATATGCAAAGCACTATGGTCTAATGACTACAAGTCTTGTGAGTAGCAGCTTCTACATGGGAAGAATTAGCCTTGTGTGACAACTCAATACCAGGGCTAAGTTTGTATGTTCCATCGTCAATAAATTAAATTTCTGACACTACTCAATGAAGTGAATAAAAACAGCCTTCTAAAAGCTTAGCAAGATACTTCCTAAAAATCTACCCAAAGTCTACATACACCCCCCCTCCCCACTTGTGGGACCATACTAGGTATGTCGTTGTTGTATTGTTTTTGAGCAACATTCTTCCATCATAGACTCTTTAAAACCAAGGGCACTTAAAAGAACAATGAAAGGAAGGCATGGTAGCAGAAGGAAAAGAAAAGCAGCAGAACCGCGAAAGTAAGATCCAAAGCACAACACTATGCCAGATAAGCAGAGGAGCCAGGGCAACCAGTAGCAGAACTGCGGACCTAAAAAAGGCAAAAACAGAACAGCTTGTGGTCCTGGTTCTGATAACAGAACATGCATAGGAGGAGCAGTGACAAAAGGACAAGTAAATGTAGGTGAAGCGCACACACACAAAAGATAAGACTACTACTGTATAATTTATATGTTGGGAGTTCAAAAAAGATGTCGTATGGGAGAGGATCCAAGGTTGGAGTTCAACGATAATTCTGAGCAGCAAAAGGATAAAATGCCTATTTTTTTGTGTGGTATCTTAAAATTATTACATCTTGAATAGGATATTTTTGCTTTTTTGTGTGGTTGTCTAAAGTGTGTAATACAGTCTACATGCCTATACATTTTTCACTTAATAGAAACAGGAAATTGTGGCGTAAAATACTATCTCTATTTGCATTTCATCTCACTTCAATAAGCATACTAGTGCGTATGACAATAAAAAAGATCATCAAGGAAATAAGAGGCTGGCAAGATGAGAAAACTTACCCTGAAATTTCCTCATTGGAGTTTTTGCATCAGTAACAACATGAAATTTCCATATAGGTGTCTCTCCATCAGTAACAATCTCGAACATAATACGATCTCCCTCCTTTAAGCAATAATCAGCACTGAATTTACGCCATCCACCTCCAATATAGGTTTGAGTTTGACAAGAATGTAGCTTTACATTCCATGACCTTTGCTTTTCATCTCTTAGAAGCAAATCATACTTCTTGTTCGTGATATGTCCGTTTGCAAATGCGACATGCTTAGGAATGCGCTGACATGGTGTATAACCATTTACACACATCATTAAACAGTTCATATTAACAAAGACAAAAAATAAAAAAATAACAAAGATGTTGCACATGCTTCCTTTAGCCTAAAAATTCTTGAAGAGTTTACGTGAAATT